CAATAGAAGGTATGATGAAAAGGCTTAATAAAAAAACATTTACCTGCTGCTTCTACAAGAGTAAGCAAAAGAATTAACAGAAAAACGTTGTAAGTCTTCATTCTTTCAAATGTCGTCTGAATCGATGTGTTCCTCTGTTACCTCTGATCAGTTTTTTACTCATGCACGAATCATAAACGTGGACAGATTTTGGTTTTTGATACTTTGATCCATAAGGCATCTCGAGTTTGAACTTACCAAATATGGCACAAGTACCGTCTTATTTCATGGAACTCAATTGTAAATTTGAAATTATCACTAAACACTTTAAAATTCTAAAATAAAGTTGCGCATAAGCACAGTGATAGGGTTGTAGGTTAATTAATGGCCTGATCTTTGAAAGATGATTTATAGAAGACTAAGATTTTTTGTTATTTGAGCATCACTCGAAGACATACTTATCTGTCCATCCGTTCGGAAAATGACTCAAATATATATATACTTGTGGACGGATTTTCTTCATACATGTACGAGCTGCACGAGCGCCCTCTGTAGTGGTTCTTTAATATGTAAATCAAATTCTAAATAAGAATGTTCACACAATATAAAATGATGTTATTCTGTTCGGTGATTGAAGGATAAAAGCTTAAGGGTTATGTACTTGGAAGTTATGGATACGGGATTCATCACTGAAGAAATGTATTTAACTCGCGAGGGACAATGTACCTGATAGCACACTTTCAATTTGAATAAACGCTGTATCCGAAACAACAGTTCATAACAGATGTATCCAATACCTACACTGTTGCTCATAAATATGGAATATTTTATAGATACGAACTGTTCGATGGAATTTCTACAAAATGATAACATTTTGATGAAAATTTGTAATGTGTTCTCATTCCCTCATCAGTTTTGCATATAAAACTGATTGGTATGAAATGTTAAAACATTTATGGTTGATTAAACTTGTATTCACTTAGGTGACCCAATGACCTCATGATATTGGTAACTTGAAAGAGGTGTCCAAATCTTAGTTGTAATCATTGTGCACATTTTATAAAAATTTAATTTAGAGTTGGAAGAGTTTTTAGAAGGCATGCCCCATAGAATAAGCGAAAAAAAGCATGGCAGGTCATAGGGATGGCGCTCTCTGGCATGAAACAAACTGCCATTGCCAGGACCCTAGGGGTGTGTCAGGAACAGTCCCTAAAATTTTGCAGTGGTACCAAAGGCACTGGAATATGACTCTAGGTCACAGAAATAGTAGCCCTAGAGAGAAAAATGTAAGAAACGACCACCACCTGCTGCATTTATGTCATCAAAATCGCTTTAAGTCAACCAGTAGTCTAGGAGATGAATGGCTGTCTCACTTCAAAACCCGTGTTCCAGAGCTATAGACAACCAGTGATTTATTTATAACGGATGCAAGGCCATGAGACCTCTAAAGAGACCACAGCTGACTGATCATAACAAAGAAAGGTGCCTTCAATGGGCTGGAAAGCACCAAAACATTGGACCTAATCTTTGGTGTCATATGACAGCATGTGAAGAAATAAGATGTGTCCTCCACAAAGTGGATAATTGTGTTCGTTTCTGTCGTAGACCAGGGGAAAGAGACAATAAGGACACTTATTGATGTGGCAGTCCATGAAGGCGACCCTATTTATGTTTGGAGCAGTATTACAGAGGTTGTTTGGAGCAGTACTACAGAAATTGCACCCCCTTGGTGATTCCCAAACATAATTTCAGAGTAAATTGACCTTTTGGACCTCCATCAAGTACCACATGTAAACAGAGTGTTTTGGGGCAACATTCAACTGCAGAATGATCATGCTGTTGCATATGCTAGAGGCATCCTGCTGGATTACATCAGGGCAGGCAATGTGGACCAGCTACTATGGGCACAAAAGTCACCCAATCAGGCTAATGCAGAGCAAATGTGGGACGACCTTGGTAATGGGATTCGTGACTTGGACCCCCACCTCAAAATTTAGACACGTTACGCACTGCCCAGATTGAGAAATGGGGCCTTATTTCACTTTTAAAGGTCAGATGTTTCATTCAATGCTGGTCCCGTAGGGTTGATGCTCTGATTGCAGCACAAAGAGGACATAACACATATTAGTGCTATCATTGGATAGAGGACACTTCAATCTTCATGACCAGATGTTTATTTTGTTTGACCTGTTTTACATGACGATTTGGATCGGGGTGTTTTGAAAATGCAAAAATTCTTAGCGTACCCCTGTTTAAGTAGCAGTAATTTTCTAAACTTAAATGTTAATATTTTTTCTCTAAAAAATGTTGATTTGTAGGTGAAATGTGTGGTTATGATTTGCCTAGAAAATAAATGTCTGAGCCAACTCCAAATAAATGTTCTCTTACTCCAAACTTTGAATTCTGAGCTGCAAAATCTAATATTCCATATTTATGAGCAACAGTGTATAGTTCTAGATTCTAGTTCTAGAAACAAGTCAGTGCCACTGCTGCGGTCTTCAAAACTGGTTTTAAACTGTGTGCGAACGGAATGAACGTAGCTGCAACTTTCTAAGGTCTATTTACGAACTTTATGAACGTTCTCAGACGGGAATGTGATTTTAGAATTTTGAATCGATTCAAAATTCGATGGCGACCATACCGTTCTGTTATCAGGTCATGTTGACCTTCTAGACTAAGGGACGCGTTCTACGACGTTGCACACCGACGTGGTGCGACCTGAACGAACTGCGAACGCGATGGACGTATTGAAGACTGTTTAAGAACGAAGAAGCTAATTATTTCAGACATATTTCCCGACCACAGCCAGATTGAGCCCGTTTTACGACGTTTTCGTAGGACTGGCAAGAACGGGTAAGAACTAGTTTGGTGTGACGGGGGGGTTAGTTCTAGAGGACGACCTAGCCGTTCGAGTACGTTCGATGAAGTTTGTAAACAGACCCCCAAACGGTTCTAAGACACCACCCTATAAAGACTGCTTTGCGAAAACAAGCGGTGTGGATAGCATGTGCTCAAGGTGGGGATGTTTACGGTCTTTTTGAATTTGATTCGTGAATTATTTCATAAACTAAACAGCAAAATTAAAGTAAAGCAAATTAATACCCGCACCTGCGCACATGATATCCCGCCATCGCTTAGAACAGTCTGCAGGGTGGTGTATAACATGTATAAATCACACGCAAATGCTTAAACGTGCTTAACAAATTGGTTAGGATGCAGGATGATTGTTGATAGTTATCTCAAAACCGAAGGTTTTAAATTACAATCTTGCTCAAACTCGACTATTATGGAATTCGCAATAATAACTTGAACTGGTTCAGATCCTGGCTTGTGGGAAGATCACAACAGGTAGTGCTCGATGGTGAATCAAGTTCAAAAACTCCAGTAAAATCAGGAGTTCCTCAAGGAACAGTTCTTGGACCACTCTGTTTCCTTGTTTATATCAATGATATGGGCAATAACCTATCATCCTCAGCCAGTCTTAAGCTTTTTGCCGACGACAGCCTTTTATTCATGACAGTCGAAAGCAAGCAAGATGCATTAACACTACAGGAGAATCTTGATAAACTGGTCTCCTGGGCATCAACATGGCAAATGAAATTCCATCCATCAAAATGCTATGTGCTAAATATTCACAAAGGTAAATCCCCTATCATGCACAATTACACCATGCTAGGGGAAAACCTTAAGTCGGTAACACACATCCCATACCTAGGAATTGACATCACAAATAACTTACGCTGGACTACACATATTCAAACTATTGTATCCAAAGCCAATAAGGTGCTTGGATTTCTCAGGCGCAACCTCCATCAATGCCCTGAAAAAGTGAAGGCTCAGGCGTATAAGTCACTAGTCCGGCCTAATTTAGAGTATGCCAGCTCGGCATGGGATCCATACCGACAAAAAGATATTGATATGTTGGAACAGGTACAGAGAAGAGCAGCCAGGTTTGTAACCAAATGTCACTCAAGGGAACCAGGCTGCGTCACCAAAGCTCTTCAAGACCTACAGTGGGAGCCACTGAAGGAGCGTCGAGAGGCTGCTAGAGTTTTCCTTTTCTACAAAGGAAAGCAGAACCTAGCAGCCATCGACGTGCCTCCATACTTCCGCCAACAGATCAATACCAACACTAGGTTGTATCATCCTTCTAAGTTCATACAACCATCAGCTAGAACGGATGCATACAAATTTAGCTATTTCCCTAGGACAATAGCTAAATGGAACACTCTACCTTGTGACATCTTAGACTGTGACAGTCTAAGTAGTTTTAAATCATCATACTATGCCTATGTCAATAACTGCAATTAAATAGGTGTGTTTTTAATATAGATCTATGTTTTAATGTAAAGGGTCCCCAGTGCACAGCAACAAGCCTGCACTACTGGTAAAAGGGGGTGATGTCAACGCGGTTAGCCTGACAGTCTCCCCAGGTAAAATGAGTTGTAAACCATAGATCTATTTTTAAATGTTAAGGTTTTAAATCATATTCTATTCAAATTCTATCACTGTTAAATTATATATCTGCTTTATATGGGCTTATTAGCCTTTTGCAGATTATTGACATAGACATAGACATAGGCATATTCTATTCAGATTCTGTTAAAGCCTGCAGTCTCCCCAAGACAATCAATGATGTCCTATTTAAATACAATCGATTCCTGCCCCATTGAGTCACACAAGCGCCCACAAGTGCCTTGAACCAGGCAGCAAATCAGGATTATGATAAACAAATTCATCGACCAATCAGATAACAGGAGGACTTTCCTGGTATATTCAATTAAACTTCGGATTGAATTAATTTCTTCGAAAATAATTAGATCGGCCAGCACAATCGCAAAATTAACACTGAAAGAGGGGATTTGGGACCTCTTCTTTGGTAAGTAGATGGGTATATATGTGGTGAAACTCAATATGCAAAAAAAGTCCACGGGGGTCTCGATTGTGCTATCCTCCCGGGCTATCCCATGGCATAGAGCCTCTTTAGATTGTATGTCTGCTTTATATGGGCTTATTAGCCTTTTGCAGATTATTGACATAGACATAGACATAGACTTGCAGCAATGTTCACAAAAATAGTCAAATTAGGCAAATACACATGCCCTAAATAATTATTAATCCGTGTTGCCTCATTGCTCCACAATAGCCAATCAAATTATTGCTACAATTCTTACCGTAATTGCCGGAAGTCTCATGACAAAATAAAATTCGGCGACTTTTTCCACAAAATGGGTTGCTGTCAGAGCAACGAAGACGATACAGACTATAAGGTAATTCTTGAAATGTAAATCAATGTGCATAGAAGACTATGAAGACTAAGGTAATCAGCTACGATAACCTAAACAATACATATTTCAGTTTGTTTTCTGAAAAAAATCAGTCTCATGAGAACTCTTATTACTTTTTGTACCATTGGGATGCATGGTTAATTGACAAAGTTCAAATTAGAATTTCTCAAATCGCAGCCCATCGATTTTTAAAAAATCTTAGAGAAATACAACAACACATCACCTTCGTGTCAAAAAAATTCCAACAAAAATATCCCACGAAAATCAAAAGTTTTGCTCTCTTACATACATGTAGTTGGAGTACCAAAACGTCATCATATTTATGTACATTGACCAATTCACCACTACCAAAGTCATCCATCCGCAGAAAATAATCCCAAAGATTTTACCGTTCACTGTTATGCTCACATGTTTCCCAGTTATTCTGAGCATTACATGTATATGCCTGCAAATAACGCAGATGCGAGTAGGTAGTTACCAGATTCACCACCAGGTGGCTCGTTCGGGTCAGATAGCATGGCGGGTATAGTAGAAAGTTCCCTTTAACTTAAATTACATCTATTTGCGTGGTTCAATTTTCACATAACCCTTATGTATCTAATAGTTATTCAAATTAGAATATGTCCAGTAAAAGAAAATGTTATCTGTCCAATACAAGAAAAGATAATTCACTTTTTGTGGTTTTGTAACATGGGGTGTATGGAGAATCAACCCGAACAAGAAGTCACATTTTCAAAAAAAATTAAATTTTCAAAGTTGATAGACAATTTTCAAAACCATATTTCTATATGCACTTTTACATGCAGATTTCAAATATGACATCACTTTGACTGAATTTTGAATATTTAATGACGTAAATCAAGATTATTTCTACTCGCATCTAGTCTATTAGACTATTCTGTCCAAAGATGGTGCTGAAGTATACCACTGAAGTCCCCAAACAGGTTTTTGATAGAAATACTTTCGTCATACCACAAAATGAACAAACGAGTAAGGATAGTACACTCAGTCAGCGACACGGTAGTGGGAAGTTCAATACAATAAGTAATAAATATCAGAGTTTTAAATAACAGTATCATGAAGCATATTCTGTTAACTGTGGTCAGTGAGCACTAGGCTAGATTATCAGTCACAGGAACCTGTATCGACACCTGCAATTGATTGGTGATCGAACCTGGAAGATTATTCACATCCTGTATCTATATAGTAAAGAAGGACTCCCTCATCCAGATCGAAAATGGTTGGCCAAGTTACCCATCGAAAAATTCAATAATATAGTCTAGTGCTCCGCTTTCCATCCCTATATTGCTAGTTTCTATTAGATCAATCAGCATTTTAAAATATTTAAATATTGAGTACTTTTTATGACTTTGATTTTACTTTTTTACAAACCAAGTAGGTCAGCCTCATTTTCATTTAATTAAATTTTTTTATATCTATTACCAGATAAGAAAAAATTGCAAATTACACCGTACAAACGAAGTAAATCACATTAATTCAGTTGCAAATACATTCCAAAGAAGTGGATGAAGCATCTCTGCAATTGTCAGGTTGTTGATTGTGTTGAAACTAGCAATATACGAATGAAAGGAAGGAATGTAATCTTGAATTTTTTAAGTGCAACCATATTTTTGTTTTTCGAAAAGAAAGTCTACTTAAGCCAACAAAACATCGTAATCAATCAACAGTGAATTGAATTTTATGCCAATTCCTAGTCTATGGATATATTTTCCCTGGGATGTTTTCAACAAACCGGGAGAATATGAAGGGCAACAGGCAAAGATGAATAACAATTTTGTAACTTTTAAAAATGGGTTTGTGTTTTTCGATCTGTTATTTTGATACTTAATCATGGCCAGAATCATCATTTGGATACATGATTTGATGAATTGTACTGATCATAATATTGCAGGTTGGCTTGCAAATCGTAGATATCTACAGTAGCTTGAAGCTTAAGGTCAGGGTGCATGTTCGGAATTTTGTTGCAACCCTCAATTGATTGAAATGTTATTTTTCAAATTTGAATCACTCCTTCCCCACAATGTCTACATCTCTCACTTTTGCACAACAGGTATACTAATGTACCTACAAAAGAATGTGAAGAAGAATGTTTTGATAAAATGTATTAAAAAACAAGGAAATTCAGTGGAAAAATTCAGAAAATCTTTCACATCCCATCAGTCTTTTCTAGGTACATAAGTGCACTCTTTGTGCGAAACTGGAAGATGTAGACAATGTGGGGAAGGAGTGATTCCTCTTTGAAAAATAACATGTGACTCAATTGAGGAATGCAGAAAAATTCCGAACATGCACACTGGCAACTTTCTTTCTTTTTTGGGCCAAGTTGTCCCTCAAGGACATGACATCATGATAGCCATATCTATTTAGAGATTATCAAGAAATGTTAAAACTATGACAAATCATAAAAATAGAAAGTTTAATTAAGAAACATATACAGTACTCCCACTAATATTTGACGCCATTTTATTTCACGATTTCGTGATTTTGAAATTTTGCGTTTATTATATTTCGCTAATTTTAAGCTTCTATGAAATTTTGCTGCTATAAATTTTCTCTTTTTAAGTTAAGTCCTTAAGAATGCAAAAGAACACCATTTCCATTTTAATATCAGCCATGTTTTTCCCTTCACCCGAAGATTTAGGCTTCATCTTGAGCCATTTTGGGAATATTATATTTCGCTAATTAGAACTACTGGAATTTCGCAGCTATTATATTTCGTGAATTTTCCAAAACTCGCGAAAAGCGTGACCAGGAGTACAGTGATATTAATATCCCCGATCAAAGCTTCTGGCATGAGAAAAAAATTATTTAGAATTTTTTTTTCTAAATAAGCAGACTTCATTCTATCATATTAGATATTTGATAGCTGTCTGTGGCGAAAACTGAAAAATAAATTTAAAAAGTCCGAAAACTATTTTTGTGTGACAGTCGAAAAATCTCTGTTTCCTTTATACCTTTTTTCTCTGGGCTGAGATTAAAGGAATGATTTTTGTAACTTTGTTAATTAAAATGCAGTGGACCAAAATGTTGGTCGTTATGTACCAATATCACTGTATGACTGACTATAGATCTAAAGTACCAAGCAAATGGAATGTGTGCAAGCATTTAGTGTGCCCTCATAAAATTTAATGTAACAGCTGCGTTTGGACAACAGCTATCAACCTAATCAAGCATCTTCAGAAAGCAAGAATTCAATTGAAAATGCAACTGAAACAGTCATACTCAACTCATCTAATCTACAACGTTTTGACCAGACAGAAAAATAGGTGGCATTTCAAAAATTTCCTGTAATGTGTACATTGCTGTATAACGTTATTCCAGGGAGAGCCTAGTTCCACTACCCGCTTACTCGGAGACCCAGTCAGTAATAACACACCAGGATCCGCACCAAGGTACTGAAGGACACATTAAAGTTAGCGATGACTAGTTGCTGCACCTTTTCTGAAAAGGCTTGCACCACTTGAATAACATGTATAATTTTATTTCTCAATTATGGCTATTTGATGGGAGACCTACTTAGCATTTGAGATGGTTTTGGAGTCACCGCTAGAAGTTGTGACATATTATTATAGTCTCCAACTAAACTTTTTATGGATGGTATTTGGCAGTTGGTGTTTGGCATTCTATGTCTGTAACAAATGGCAGGTGGTGACATTTTGCATGTTAATCCCTCATTTTATCTGTCTGCAAATCAACATTTGGAATTGTTTGTTGACTGTAGCTAATAGTCATAGCATTAATTAAACAGTTTTTCTTGATGTTGATTTGACAACTTTAATTTTCATAATGTTCAAAAGTATTCAACTTCACTTAAATCTTTTTGTAAAACATGTACTCAACTCAATTCCCAATACTAAAATTTTTCAATTTTAAGATTCATTTTGACTTAACTCAGTTTTGTAGATTCCATAATGCTTTTTAAACTTTCAAATGATGCTGCAATGATGCCCGAATGGGAGGTCAGTTTTTAGAAAATTTTAAGGGGCTCAAATCTGACAATTTTGGCCAAAATCACTTGAAAGCTGCTTAACCTCTTGAATCCCAGGCTCTAAAATTGGCATGAAACAAGAGAATTTTTCATTTTTTGCCACCTTTTGACATTTTATTACATACCTATACAACTTAAGATGCTCAGCTTAGTAAAATTGGACGGCAGAGATCATTTCTACACATTTTAAAACAATTTTTGTGTAAATTGGATGAAAATTGTTCAAATGAGAGCAATTTTTGTGAAAAATTTTGTGACGGATTTTCTCGTCCCTCTGGGCACCAGTCTTATTTCATTTGTGACGGATATATCCGTCACTCTGGGTATTCAAGAGGTTAAAATGATGAAAACTGCATAAATTTGAAAGATTTTTTACCATTTTTGCTTAAACACCCTGGACACCCCTAGCATTCCTTTAAAGTAACATGTTTTACATTACTATCCAAAATTTCAGTGACAGCTATGGCACATATGGTAGGGCCCAGACTGTGCAACCACAGGTTCAACACAATGATGAACAGTCGGCATTAAGCAGAATACTAAACCAAACTGCAAAGTAAGATCTAGCCTTGCACAAACAGTCTCTAGTTTTTTAGAACTCTTATGTTGCATGTAGTTAATAAAATCTGTTTATTTGTGTAGTTGAGATGTATTTTTCTTTTGTCTAAAGCCTTGAAATCTACATTTTTATGTGGTTAAAATTTTGATGGCTTCCCACCATCTTGGTCGGACCTATTGTGTTGGAAATGTCCAACAGCTTTATAAAATCTCTGTATTGCAACCAATATATTGCCCTTTCACAACACCGTCATTTAGATAATTTTGAATTCCTTGCCAGTAGTATTTCACATGTAAAATTTGGGTACCGTTAAGATTTCATTAAAATGTTTAGTCCGATTTATCTTGTTTTCAATAAATCTGAATTCTTTGCCAGAAGTATTTCACATTTAAAATTAGGACACCGTCAAGATTTAATTAAATTTTTTATCCAACTCATCTTGTTTTCAGCAATGTGATAGATGTTGCTGCAATGGATTCACACGCAATTGAGCAACATGAGTATATGGACAGAGCAAGACAGTATGGGTGAGTGGGCTTTCAAATAATAATGAATTAAAATGTACATGATTTTATTGAAGCAAATCACTCATGGATGGTTAGTCATGGCTCGAAAGTGATCACACTAAGAAAATAGCTAAAATAGCTAGCTTCAATGAATGTGTTGTTTTATTGCTCTGTAACCACGTGGAGATGCTCCTAACAGAGCGTTTTACTCCATTGAAATAATTCAAAGGATAATTTAGTTTTGTTGTTAAAGTTCACAACATACGCAATTTTCACACCTCACACATATGGACAGGGGTTTAACTAAGGATAGCTTATGCCTTGGTCACATTTGTTCCGATTTTCACTCCGGCGCCTGGCCGATTGAGTATTTTGTTCAAAACTGAATACAATATTGAACAAAACACTTAATCGCCTGGCCGATGAATCTGAGCAAATGTGACCCAGGCATTAGTTCATGGCTTATGGTTTTTTGTTGTTTCAGTTGTGCTAGAGTAGCTAGCTATGCAACAATTCACAGAAGCTACAACAACTAGGTTACCCAATGTCATAGCAGATTAGTTCATGCCTTATTGTTTTTATTTCAGTGCTAGAGTAGCTAATATATGCAACAATTCACAGAAGCTAAGACATGGGCCTAGGTTACCCAATGGTATAGCAGCCCCACATGTCGTCCTGGCAGCAAGGCCTGTTTCACAACAAGACATTCAACTCGTAAGGCTTAAGGGGTTGACTCAAAATGTTATTTTTGCAAAACTACTTTCATGAAATGTAAACTTCCCTGGCCTCCGTCCCTGTTTTTTCCATTTTTGAACTTTTTTGAAAAACAATTGAAAATTAAAGTTGCATTATCGGTCACACATTTTCATTATTCTTGTCATCCCCTCAATGTAATTAGTTTTGCATTAATGACAAATTGATTTTTTGGGTTGGTTAATAAAAACAGTGAATTTCTAATTAGTTGGCATTTTATTATGTTCATTCAAAGGTATTTCATTAAGGTGCGATACGTGATGTTTAGTTCATTTAAAGCTTATATTGAGGAACATTTACAAGATTAGTACATACATGTAGGCCTATGTATTTATTTATTTCTTACTTCAGATAACAAATGCCGCAGAATTAGCATCAAAGACATTACCTGAAGTGAAGGTGAAACATAAAGAAGACTTAGTAGTGCATTTTGGGGTGCCTTAATACACAACACGCTGAAGTGATTTTTCATTTGTGAAAGAACGTCCAATTGCCCTGTGTAATATATCTGTCTATCCCATGATTGCAGGAGAATGAATGGAACAACAGCATTGATATTAATGATAGTGTAATATTTTTGTGATATTGGTTTTCCATGTATATATGACTCATAAGGCAATGTCAGTAAATTGTCAAAATTAGAAAAAAATTAAAAATTGCTCATTTTCACTGATATGTTTCTATTGCATGTATTGTGCATGTCTATGCATGTCTATGGCTGCTATAGTGTAGATTTATATTGTCCTTTAACCAGTCTATTGAAGATATGTTGAAAAGAGTTTTTTTATAAATAGGATGAGGATTGATTCAATTATTCAATGATTTCTGTGGTTGTGAATAATAATTGAAATGTGGCAAATACAATTGTACATTAATCATTTTCTTCCTTTTACTGAAGTTCTGTTTTATTTGGCGCCCATTTTTTGTTGGATCTGCCAAATCGTTAAAGTCCGCCAAATTAAGTAGCCGCCAAATTCCCCGGTAGTTTTAGTACTGTGTAAATTACGAGTAGTACCAATGCATTGTAATATTGCAAGTCCTCCAAATAAAGTAGCTGTCAAAAGTTCAAAACAGCACATCAGCCAAAATAAGTAGCTCCAAATTAAGAAGAACAGTGTATAAAATTCTTCAAGTGCTGTACATGTAATTAATTCACTCTATTCCTGATCAAAACCTGTGTTAAATATAAATTATATCATTTGCTTTATCAGTTAATGGTGGATATGGTAACATGCTTCTGGATACATGTATATAAAAATATAAACTAGGCTATTTGAGCCAACAAAACATTTTCGTTCTATCATACTATCTATATCATGCATAATATCTGAAAATAGTAACTAATGATTGTAATTGTTATTAATATTTGATGTCCTCCAATGAACCAATTTAGGCTATCTTAGATTAATTGTAAAATCCATCATCACTTCTTTAGGCTGAAGCACCCTAAACTTTGAATCAAGATTTTAAAGGTTTGGAAATGATGTATTCCATATTTAATGCAAAATTTAAATATTTGACAGTATTGAAAAACAATTATGGATGAAGTTGCAGTATTAGAGTTCTGCATATATTGCAAGTTTTATTGTGCTTTTTTATTAGATGGTGGAATATATTGTAGATCCCATACTCTCAAACTATGAATTATATCATTGGTCTAAAGTCAAGTTATGGATCATATTTACTTTTTTGAATTTAGTCAAGTTATGGATCATATTTACTTTTTTGAATTTGTTACATTTTGAGATGAAGTTGTATGAGACTATAGACATTCAAAGATGAAGTTGCATGAAGCTAAAAATGAAGTTGCATAAGACTTAAGATTCCATAAGAGTAAAGAAAGATGAAGTTGCATGCTGGGTATGTTCCCTCATTGACTCTGAATGTAAAGCTATATACTCTGAGTTATCATTTACGTGTTGTATTGCCTTGATCTGCAAAATTAATGTATTTGGGTACATACATTGCAAACATGTGTAGAATAACCAGAATTATGAAAATAAAAATGATATAAATTATTATTTTGTTTTCATGTGTTTATTTTTGTGATTTTAATAAAATTAAATTGAAAACAATTCCACATGACTTTGTGTTTTTGTTGAATAATATGAATCAGACAGTTTTAAATTCTCTTTTATTACCCCATTGACATGGGAAAAACATGAAATGTGATACAAAGCTATGCAATTTATTTATCAATAGTTGAAAAATGATTTCACCGAAAATGTTATCCTGGTGAATTTGAAATGTTGATGTTCAGAACAGAGTCGCACTATATAATATTTCTTTTTAAGCCTAGTGGGAGTATGTTTAGGGTATGGGCTCAAACTGCAAAGAAATGACTACATGGGCTGTAAAACTTCACAAAAACTCAATCTATGATTTCAGGTCCGTGACTATAATGAAAGGAATGACAATAATACAGTGGGGGATCAAGTAATTAACAAGGGGCCCAAATTTTGAGACTGGAAAATTTTCAACTTTCGAAAAAATTTTGGGCCCCTTTAAATCAAAAATTGTACCACCATATTTTGTTAGGTTCAAAGCATTCAATTGTACATTCTTATTTTTAAGGTGTTCTATATATTTGCTACTATATTCAAAACATTTTGGTGATGTTTTATCCAGTCCATGAACACATGTCTGAATGCCATTCACAAGAAAGGACCAGAGTTGGTACATCGCCTCATCCTGCATTAGGAATAATGCACCTTGTCAAACAGTAAAAACACAGAATCAATTGGACAGCATGGGGATCAAACAACTATAAACCAAACTGGGAATGGGCCCTAACTCACCAGACATGGCTCCAAAATACCTTTATTTCCATGTCTCTGAACTCTGGGAAGAATTTCTCAAGACAGAAGATCTGAAAAGTGGTATTCCACAGAGAGCGTATGATTAGTGAAGGTGGCTTCAAACATGTGTTCAAATTCCTTCATGGGTATAAAGGGTATATTTGAAGAAATGATTTTGGGATAAGTGAGTATTTATTGAATGAAATGGGGGGATGAGTCATTTGCAGTTTCTTCAGTCAGAGGTACATGCGAACTATATCTATTGTAGAATCTTTTTAGATATAAAAAGAAATACTTTTGGACAATGCAGTGATCTCCCCAGCATTAAAGCAAGTGGGCGCAGCACCCATCTGGGATTTTAAAAACAGGCTTACACCCACCTGAAAATCCATTTGCACCCACTTGAAAATTATAAAAATCATGTCATATTATTATCAGTCTCGGTCTGAATTGTGAAAATGAGAATTTTGCACATACTTGAGAAAGATTCTTGTGGAGAACACTGCAAGGAGTTCTGTATTTCTCCTTTTGCTAATGAATAACGGGAAGAGGTTAAGTCATCTTCAAGTTTTCCTAAGGAGCAAAAACTGTATTGTATATACAGTTCCAAACATGACCCTCCAAAAGTGTCACGATTTAAGACGATTTTTCTGTATCAAATGTGTTCGAATCTTGATACCAATACAAATATGATCTCATTTTAGGATTCGTCGAATCCCAATTTGAATCCTAATATGAATCCTAATATGGTTGTTTATATCATTCTAGCGAAGAAAGACGACTTTTCTGTTTCAAATGTGTTCGAATATCAATACCAATACAAATATGAGCTTATGTTATTAGGATTCGCAAACTTGTTTGAATCCTAATAATCAAAATATGGTTATTTATATCATAAAGCGAATGATGTAGGTCTCCCTGCAGCAAATGTATGTGGTCGAATGTTAATACCAATAGAAATATGGGCTCATTAGGATTCGCCAACTATGTGTGTATCCCAAGGGTTTATCCAGATTTGAATCCTGAATGAATCCCAATATGGTTTTTATATCATTCGAGCGAAGAAAGTCGATTTTTCTGTATCATGCTGTTGGAATCTCAATACCAATACAAATATGAGCTCATATTAGGATTCGCCAACTTTGTTTGAATCCCAAAATGAATCCTAATATGAATCCAAAGTTTATTTACGTATAACGTTACATGCGAATTATGTATCCCAATGATGTTCCTCCTGCAAGAGCCAGGCATTCTGATACTCATAGTATCTTTCTGTTTCACCTGAAACATATCAGGGCTGAGAAGAAATGAAATGTCATGGTTTGTCATGATGGAGCCAGAGGTCATTTAAATGTCACGAAGGATAATCATTATGTTAATCCTCTCCAGCACAGTCCTTTGAATATGATCATCATCAGAACAATTACTTTCTTGGAAAAATAGGTTTTCTGAAAATTGAATATCATTCGGTGCATCCTGAGCAATTTCAGAGCACAATATCTTGCACATAAAATCAATTACTTTGTAAAGAATTTTCAAGACGTTGGTTTAGGGGAAGGGTGCGTCCCAGGCGCTCCCCTGAATCCACCATAGGGTGCCCAAATAAATAAATAATATATATATAAAGCATTCAATTTCTCTGTTGTTCGGTGCAACATTTTTTTCTGTGTTGCTACATGCAACAGTTTTCTGTTTTAGCGATGTATTCATTTTTAAAATGCATAGTCCGATAGATCTACTGCTAACATGTTCTTTTGCAAAAATTCATTACCCCCTATCACACCAAACTAGTTCTCACCCGTTCTTGCCAGTCCTACGAAAACGTCGTAAAACGGGCTCAATCTGGCTGTGATCGGGAAATATGTCTAAAATAATTAGCTACTTCGTTCTTAAACAGTCTTCACTACGTCCATCTCGTCCGCAGTTCGTTCAGGTCGCACCACGTCGTTGTGCAACGTCGTAGAACGCGTCCCTTAGTCTAGAAGGTCAACATTGAATCGATTCAAAATTCTAAAATAACCTTCCCGTCTGAGAACGGTCATGAAGTTCGTAAATAGACCTTAGAAAGTTGCAGCTCCGTTCATTCCATTCGCACTCAGTTTAAAACCAGTTTTGAAGAACGCAGTGGCAACTTGTTTGGTGTGATAGCTATATTTTTGCCAACTCGTTCATAAGCAGTGTTAAATGCGTTCTTAATCAGTTTAAACCCGTTTGCAATTAGTTCTACCTCGTTCTCAATACGTCCTCAGACAGTTCAACTCGTTGTTAAAACGTCCCTGAGGATTGAAGTACGACGGTTCCGTTACTCGTAGTAATTCCTGCTCGTCGTTAGGTCACTTGTTCTAATTGTAGAACGTATCGACCACGAGAACATTTTGAGCATGATCTAAGTTCTAGAGGACCTACCCGTTCGAGTACGTTCGATGAAGTTTGTAAATAGACCCCGAACGGTTTTAAGTACGTCCAGTCCGTTCGTACACAGTTGAAGCCCGTTTTGAGAACGTAGTGAAAACTAGTTTGGTGTGATAGTAGGGTTACAATTTAAAAAGAAGGCTTATACGTTGATTTCTTAGAACATATCTCTTTCGAATAATTTCTGGAAAATTTGAAATGATGGCTGTCAATTTATTTCAATATTGAATGCCCCTCCGATGTGCGAACGTTCACAGCTTGCCAAATCAAATTAATCCTCCTTATTTTCCAACGAAATATTCGTTTACTAGTATTACAAAAACACTTTACGTGAACTGATTATTTCTCATTGTTAAAGCCAGTTTTAAACTTCAGTGTCTAAAACCGTGATATCTAAAACCCAAAACCTACTTTCCAGAAAATATAGATTGCTAGGCAAGTGATGGCGTTGAAGAAGGTCGCGCATCGGGGGGGGGGGGGGGTCGGAGACATGCTCCCCGTAGACATTTTTGTCATTGGAGACGTTATTTGTTGCAACCTGAGCGTTTTTAAGGATGTTTTATTTATA